GCACGCAAAATCAAACCCAGAAGTGATTATTTCCCAACACTAATAACGGGAAACACGCTACACACTTCAAGTTCGGAGAAGGCAGAGGCTATTGCCGAGTGCTTTTATAACACAACTCAGACTGATACTAACAACCTATCACCTGAGCAATCCGCTATTGTGAACATGGCGCAAGACTTCAAGCGCAACGCATCTAATATAAATGATTTTGATAACAATTTTTTGACAACGCCCACCGTCATCAAAGACATTGTACACAAACTTGCAAACAATAAGGCACCAGGCGCAGATGGTATTGACAACATCATGATTAAAAACTTGCCGAGGAAAGCGATGGTGCAGTTAATGTATGTTATCAACGCCTGTTTGAGAGCGGCTTATTTCCCCAAGGCATGGAAACACGACATAGTTATACCCATGCCAAAGCGGCAAGGACCTATCTAAACCGGCCAGTTACAGGCCTATTTCACTAGTAAGTATCCTGTCAAAGGTTGCCGAACGTGTAATACTCAAAATGCTGAATGTGGTTGACAGAGAACAGCACATCACCCCCTTAGAGCAGTTCGGCTTCAGACCTGGTTTGAGTACCGTCCATCAAGCCGTGCGAATCGCCCATGACGGTAAGCAGGCCTTTAACGGTAGCAGGAACACCGTTATGGCCCTGCTTGATGTCGAAAATGCATTCGACACGGTTTGGCTGGACGGAATGATAGCCAAGTTCATAAGCTTAAATGTTCCGAACCGAGTAACCAAGCTCATAGCGGCATTTCTAACCGATCGCACATTTCAAGTCAGCGTCAACCGTACAATGTCAACCACACTCAGCACTAGAGCTGGTGTCCCCCAGGGCACGGTCCTTGCCCCAAAGCTGTATACCTGGTATACAGACGACATGCCACGCTCTCAACATGCTAAAATTTGCCTATTTGCTGATGACACTGCAGTGTACGGCGTACACTGTACGCATCATCCTTTCACTCTATACTTTAACGCCCTGCTTAAGTATTTCCATAAGTGGAAAATTAACTTGAACCACGCTAAAACAGGGTATTCTGTTTGACAGCCGCTTGACATTTGCACCACACGTTAAGTCCATTAGAGAGAAGGTGTACACTGCCATTAAGGCTATATATCCGCTCTTGAGCAGAAATAGAGGCTCTCTATGGAAAACAAAATAATACTTTATAAAACCACAATCAGGCCCGTCATGACTTATGGCTGTCCTGTCTGGTGTTCGGCCTCTGAAACGCAACTGCTAACGTTGCAGCGACTACAAAATAAGGCGTTACGCTATGTGACTAGTAGTGGCAGATATGCGTCCCAGGACAGTCTACATGAATTGACGGGCATTGAGCTGATACATGACCACATCAAGCGGCTGGCTGACAATTTCTATACGCTCAAACTCAACAGACACCCACTGACGCGTGACATAACTAACCTGAGGCATGCGGATAACATTCTGTACAAACACCGCCTAATATATGGCACTTTGCCAATTTTTCATATCCCAAGGCGCGACTAGCTACCATAGGGTATATATAAGAGCGCGGAAAATCGGCTGTCGCTTCCTAACGCGACAGACAGTATTCATCCGTAGCCCCCTGCACACTCTGGGCGCCAATAAACAATACGTCGCCGTCAGGTTCCCCAAAAACCAAAAATCAAAAAAAGTGAAAAAATTTAAAAAATTAATAAAAATTCCAAAAAAGTACTACATTTACTCCCCCCAAACTTAATTTGGCCAAAAAGCCATAAATTAAATTTTTACTCCTTAAAGGTGCGGCGACTGACCCGGTCGCCATACCTTTATATACGACTTAGAGGTGTGGCGGCCGACGCTGTCACCGCACCTCTATCTTACCGTCGCACCACCTTTATATGTGTAAAGGTGTGGCGGCGATACTGGGCATTCACATAAGTCCCCAGCCCATCGCCACCTGACGTATATCAGGTAAAGTCTCATAAACTATGCTAACTGCCTTACCAGGTTTTTGGAATTTTTCCTGGGTTAAATCTTGAAATCTTTGAGCTATCAATTGATTGAACAACATATTCATCTCGAAATTCTTACTACGGTCGCACACAGTAAGAGCCTCTTAATCGCGCAGCGAAGGAAACGGCCGAACTCTGATAAATGGTGAATGGATGCAGTGGTAACGGAGGTGACAAACATCGTCAACAACCAAGATGCCGAGCTAGGATTGGTTGTAGCGCTGCAGTGCTGAAGATATGTACATTGTATTTTATCAAACCTAGTACTGTAAACATAATGCTACTCTGTAGCTTCTGTATCCATAAATGATTCTGTGATATTATTTTAAAATAAATTTGTTTGATTTGATTTTGATTTTTGACTGCGGACTACAAGCCGAGAGGTCGTGGGTTCGAATCCCACCAGGGGTATGGCTGTTTATTTGTATGTGTCAGTGTGTACTCCTGTAATTGGGCCTGGTGCCTGTTGGAAGCACATTAAAATAATAATAAAATAAAAATAATAAATAAAAATATTATTATTATTATTTATACAAGGTTTCTTAAAAGAGCCTGTACAATGTAGGGCCACTTACTCTTTGGTTCAAAATAAATCGATTTAACCCAACTTACCTAAAGTAGCCTTTAAAGTTTGTAAAAAACACTATTTTTTTAATTTAAAAGTTTGAGGAGCCTGTTATTATTATTAAGAGATCAATCATCGTGATAATTATCTATTAATTAATCTATTTTCCATTTAAATAATATAGGATTTTTTTAATTTTGGAATTATATTAACGGATTAATGGACTGAAAATAGCAACATATTTTTATAGAAAATATTAAATGATAAATATACTCGTTTAAAGTTATAGGTTTTTCTTACTTTTCCTGTTAAGCCCTTACTCATTACAAAATGTCATAGAACCTTTTTTGTAGATCTTTTTTTTCTACAAATATGTCATTCAAAATTTTTTTAATTAATGGTTATAAATAAACTTTTTGCAATAAAATTGCTTTTTTCTTGAAATTAATTGTTATTCTAACCAAAAATATTAATTTGTTAAACCACTAACTGTTAAACTATATGATTTTAAAATAACATATTTTTATGGAAAATTAAATGATCTGTCGTTTTGTAATAAATCCGATGGTTTTACATAAAAAGTAAGAAAAACTTAAAATTTACTTTATTTTCTATTTAAGCTGGATTTACCATAAAATTATAAAGGACCATTTTTGTAGAGCATTTATAAATAACCAGAACATATTTGTTCTAATTATTTTAGTCCATTGATCTGTTATCGATAATTGAAAGTTAAACATTTTTTTCTTTTATTTAAATAGAAAATAGAAAATAATTTTTTTTCTGAAATTTTAACGAGATTAATATTTAATTTAATTTTTTTAAATTTTTACCACGTAGGGGGCCCTGGATCCGGCGGGGCCCAGGGCTGCAGCCCATAAAGCCCACACCTAAATCCGCCCATGACTACTTGACCATCGTTGTGACATCATTAAAATAACTGTTCACCTCGATCTTGGATTTTATTTACGAAAAATACCCTTCACAACAACTTGGCTTTTCGCGGGGCGAGTGTAGACCGGGCTTAAAATAATTCTTGACCATGTTCGCTTTTGCGTATGTAAAGAAACAATTCTCTCAAAGGCATTTTCTTACATTTTTAGAAAATGAGTTAACCTTGGAACTTCTCTTAGAACTATTATAGTTGTATTATAATAATACAACAACCAAGCAGAGAATAAAGAATTTATCATTACATTAAAATCTTTTTTCTCAATAGCAGGGCCGAGCCAACCCAGGGTGTAAAGGGTGCACTGCGCCCGGGCGGCAACTATCGAGGGGCGGCATTTTAGAAAATATTTGTACAGAAAGTGACGGTAAACTTTTTAATATTGTAATTGATTCTGATCCAAGTGCATGGTCTACACTTTCATCTGACAAAATAAGGTTAATGCTAGTAGAAAAAGGTAACCTACTAAATAAGAAAACAACTTATCCCAAAGACGCTAGCACTAGAAGTTTTTAAAATAAATATTTTTTACAAACTTTACCAAATGGTAAATCCGTTTAACGCACTTGGATATTCTAAAAAATATACTCTGTGTTTTGTTTCCCATGTAAGTTATTTGGGAATGCATCTAGTTCTTTGGGGCTAGATGGATTTTGAGATTGGCAACATTTATCGCGAACCTTAAGCCGACATGAAAGTTCTAATGATCATATTAGATGTGGCAACAAAATGATTCAATTACAAACTTCATTAAAATGTGGCTCAATAGATTACACTGTGCAACACAAGAAATGAACTGGGATCAAATCTGAAAAAATCGAATCTAGGCAACCCCCAAAACAAATCCTTTAAGGGGTTTTACCAGTTTAGCTCGAATAATGGAGATATATAAAAGCCCCTAGAACTTAAAAAATATGAATTTTATAGAAAAAGGCTCGGACACGTCGATTTTTATTTTATATGACGCAATTTTCAGTTGATTTTGAAATTTTTATTTTTTCACAGATTCACCCCCAGCCACCTCACAAGTGAAAAAGCAGCCACTATTAACTATTAAATTAGTTACTTTTGACTAATTCATTTACATACATTACCTGTTATTTAAGGTATAACAAAGGGTCGGTTTTCTTTAAAAAAAAAGTGGGGTGGCTGGGGGTGAATCTGTGAAAAAATAAAAATTTCAAAATCAACTGAAAATTGCGTCATATAAAATAAAAAACGACGTGTCCGAGCATTTTTCTATAAAATTCATATATTTTTTAAGTTCTAGGGGCTTTTATATATCTCCATTATTCGATCTAAACTAGCAAAACCCCTTTAAAGATTAGTTTTGGGGGTTGCATAGATTCGATTTTTCCACATTTCATCCCAGTTCAAATTGTAAGGTCAAAATTTGTCGCACAGTGTTATTAAAGGAAAAACTAATTAACAGTAAACAGAAAAGATGGTGTTCTGTTTTAGAAAGAATTATATCGGTTGTTAAATTTTTAGCTAAGCAAAACCTAGCTTTTAGGGGTAGTTCTAGTAAATTATCTTGTAATGTTACACGTTACACGTCTCATAGAGCAGCAACAGCAGCCCAGCAGATAAGACCTGAAGATGGATGAGATAGTACCGAAACGTCGTCAAACATGCGGTTCTTTTAAGAACCAAAAACCGACAACACGGAGCAGATCTCGAAAAACCACTTATACTTATATATATATATATATATACAGGGTGTTTCTTTTAACTTGAGACAGCTTAATATCTCGAGAAATACGCATTTTACGGAAAAATGTCTTAAATAAAAGGTTAATGTGACCAAAGGGGACATTATTTGGTGCTACCGCTAGCCACCCCCTACCCCTCCTTAAGGGTGAAAAGGGGGGTAACTTTGGAAAGTCAAACGGGATGACCCAATTTTTTTTACAGATTTTGATAGTACATAAAAAAATGAATAACTTTTATTTAAAACTTTTTTTCAATTTATCAACAGATGGTGCTGTAATTCAAAATTTAAGAAAAATAGGTTTCCTTCTAAAATGTATTATTTGAAACTGTTAAAAAACAAAAATTAACATTAAATCAACAATAGTCGGCTCTGAAAACAATTTATAAGAAATGTTCGAAATGTTGTACTTCCATTTCGACACCAAGTGGAGCCCCAGCGTCCCTGGTCGGTAAACGTTTGGTGCGGTACCTTTGGCGAACGATTAATCGGACCCTTCTTTATTGACGGTGCATTAAATGGCGAAAAGTACCGAAATTTTCTAGAAAACGATCTGCCGGACCTTTTGAAGGAGGTACCACTAGCACGGCTCCAAAACATGTGGTACCAGCATGATGGTTGTCCTACGCATTATTCGGCAATTGCTCGAGAGGTGTTGGATCGGGAGTTCAATGGCCGGTGGATCGGTAGAAGTGGTCCAGTAAGTTGGCCTGCTCGATCACCTGATCTTACGCCACCAGACTTCTTCCTGTGGGGTTACTTGAAAGAAAAAGTTTACTCTGCAATTCCAACAACTCGGGAGGACATGGTGGAGCGGATCAGGAACGCCTGTGACGAGACGCTAAATGCCACTGGCGGCTCCTCTTACTGCGCATGATCGCTAATTTACAAATGTGCCGCGATTGAAAATGTTAAAGGCACGTTAGTTACGTTATAATTATAATCCGTAGATATGGGGCGGGGTCGGTTGGGTTGTGTTGTTGAGTTTGGGTTGGTTTGGTTTTATGACGTAACTAACATTTCGAATCGCGGCACATTTGTCAATTAAGCGATCATGCGCAGTAAGAGGAGCCGCCAGTGGCATTTAGCATCTCGTCGCCTGTGCGGCGATAACGCCCGACATGTTGGCGTGTTGTGTGCCAGAATTCATAACCCGCATTAAAAAATGTGTCGAAATGGAAGAACGAAATTCCGAACATTTGTTATAAATTGTTTTCAGAGCCGACTATTGTTGATTTAATGTTAATTTTTGTTTTTCAAACGTTTCAAATAATACATTTTACAAGGAAACCCAATTTTCTTAAATTTTGAATTACAGCGCCATCTGTTGATAAATTGAAAAAAAGGTTCAAATAAAAGTTATTCATTTTTTTATGTACTACCAAAATCTGTAAAAAAAAATCGGGTCATTCCATTTGACTTTATAAAGTTACCCCCGTTTCACCCTTAAGGAGGGGTATGGGGTGGCTAGAGGTAGCATTAAATAATGTCCCCTTTGGTCGCATTAACCTTTTATTTAAGACATTTTTTCGTGAAATGCTAATTTCTCGAGATATTGAGCTATCTCAAGTTAAAATAAACACCCTGTATTTATATATTATTTAATGTTAACAAAAAAACGATAACTTATATACACATAAATATATATATATATATATATATATATATAATGTATATATATATATACATATTATATATATATATATATATATATATAATTATATATATGTTATAAATAAATAACAATAATGTTATTTAAATAATTTAAACTAATTTATTTAGTACTATAAGTCTTTATTCAAAACTTTACTCTCACAATATCAACCGATCGTTTTCAAAGTGTCAGGCACACTGCCGTTAAAACTAATGTGTCTACGTAGGTCCTCATTTGTTTATCTTCTCTTGCCCTTGGTATGCTCTTAAGTATCCTTTCGCTAACACGGCCATCCTGTTATCGGAGCGTCCTCGCTCCGCAATTCTGACCATCATCACAAAACGGCAAACTGTTCTAATGCAATTTGTACGGTTGCAGTCTTAAGAGGTGAACCTCCTTTTGCGTCTGTGGCCGACTTGTACACACTCGTAGCATTTGCCTAGGAGTTCAGGAAACCACAGAAAACTGAACTCTACGAGCGGGGTAGAAGTTACAATTCTAAAAAATACAAAAAGGAAGAATCAAGATCTTACGAGATATACAAGAACATAAACTACCTTTTTGTTATACGCTGTGGGGTTGCCACCAGCTCTTAATTTAATTGTGGGATTGCCACACCTACACTTTTGTTCTTAATTGTGGGATTGCCACTAATTTTTAACTAAATTGTGGGATTGCCAATAATTTTCAACTAAATTGTGGGATTGCCACTAATTTTCAACTAAATTGTGGGATTGCCACTAATTTTCAACTAAATTGTGGAATTGCCACTAATTTTTAACTAAATTGTGGGATTGCCACTAATTTTCAACTAAATTGTGGGATTGCCACTAATTTTTAACTAAATTGTGGAATTGCCACTAATTTTCAACTAAATTATGGGATTGCCACTAATTTTTAACTAAATTGTGGGATTGCCACTAATTTTCAACTAAATTGTGGGATTGCCACTAATTTTTAACTAAATTGTGGGATTGCCACTAATTTTCAACTAAATTGTGGGATTGCAACTAATTTTTAACTAAATTTTGGTATTGCCACTAATTTTCAACTAAATTGTGGGATTGCCACGGCTACATTTTTGCTCTTAATTGTGGGGTTGCCACTAATTTTTAACTAAATTGTGGGATCTCCACAGCTCCATTTTTGTTTTAAATTGTGGGATTGCCACTAATTTTCAACTTAATTGTGGTATTGCCACTAATTTTATTACAATTGGAATACGTACTTTTATTCAGTGGATGTCCATCGTCTTAACTGATCGTGGGCGGCCGCAGTAGTTCGTCGTCCTTGTTTGTGCAACACAAATCTCTCGTTGGGTAGTAGGCATCGTATTGTATATGGCCCTTTATATTTCGCTTTCAATTTTCCTCCTCCGGCTACCTGGGAATCTTCGACAGCCACAGTAGTTCGTCGTCCAACTCTGTTTGATTTAACTTAACACTGTGCGCATTTTTAACAGTTAAAATTGATGGAATGTTGACAGGGGTATGTTGTAATTCGATACCGCTTACACTTTTCACGATTTGTAAACAAGGTCTACCTATAACGTCCCACCCGATAATTATGTAAATGCCTTTAGGGATGGAACCATCTGGTACAATATAATAATTAATGTCTAAAGAGATCAATTAAGATTCTATTGAAATGATAGAGTAAGCAGTGTTAAACTATATCTTTATTAAAAGTTGTCTGAGTTTTATATCCAACAAATTTAAATAATTTATAAAACATATCATATTATTTGATGTTTTCGAACTATAAACTTAAAACACTTTATAATTATATTCAAAACAAATATCAGTAGCGTACTAGACAAAACATGTGTTTTTTATTGTATTTTATTCTGTACGCTACTGACTGGAACTTTTGCTGACTAAGTAGTTTATAGCACAAGGTCGCTTTTACGCTACTTGTACGAGTGATATCTACACAATAATAATAAACATATGTTGAACTATTTTTCTGTTAAACTTGGGTTTTAACCTATGATTGAACCTTCTGCCGGCTCAAGATTTATCTGTTCAATCTGTGATTGAACATTCTGCCGACTCAAGATTTATCTGTTCAATCTGTGATTGAACATTCTGCCGATTCGCCATTTAAGATTATTATGTTAAAATTGTGTTTTAACATTCTGCCGGCCACGACTTTTCTTGGCTCGTGAAGGTATTGGTTTTATTGGCGGAAGATAGTCTAGATAGCTGCCATCCTGCAGCTCCCATTCCTCTTCTTTGTTCTCCCATGGGAAAACGTCTTTTACGGGTGGTCGTATTATTCTGACTTCATATGCCCTGCGTTCTTCCTCGATGAGATATGACGGTGGTTCCATTTTCCTGGCCCTTGGGTTGTTGACGAGGCACCGCATCTTGTGCTACGGTAACCTCTTTGCTAGGACTCGGTGGCTATCGTCGTACGGACAGGTCACCATTTGTTCGGGGTCGTAAATCCCGGTAGTTGGTCGTTGTGGATCGCCTGATGATGGCTGTGGACCCAGAGCTCCTTCTTGGTGAGTAGTCTGGCGTCTCGAATGCTGACCCGAAGCTTTTTCTGGTTGAACGCTCCGGGGCCTGGATTGATCCGTAGTTTCGTGGTTGAGTGTCATTTTGTTCACTTTTTGAAGTGACGTTTTGTCGTTGAAATGCATTTTTGGTTATGTGGAGTCGAACAGAGGTCCGGATTCTTTACTTTTCAGGACTGTGCTCTTCTTTACTCCAAGGTATTCTGGGCTGCTGGATCAGTTTGTCCTCCCAGTGTAAGATTTTTGTAGTTTGGTTGTGTGGAGGCGAATAGAGGTCCGGATTCTTTACTTTTCAGGACTGTGCTATTCTTTACTCCAAAATTTTCTGGGCTGCTGGATCAGTTTGTCCTCCCAGTGTAAAATTCTTTGTTTGTAGCTTGGTTGTGTGGAGGCGAACAGAGGTCCGGATTCTTTACTTTGCAGGACTGTGCTCTTCTTTACTCCAAAATATTCTGGGCTGCTGGATCAGTTTGTCCTCCCAGTGTAAAATTTTTTGTAGCTTGGTTGTATTTGCTAAGCGCTGGGCGAGTACAAAGATTTTCTCTTTGATGATGCTCACCTCCCAGCGTTAGCACGTAGTTCGAAGGACCATGATCCTATCCGGCTCGAAGGACCATGAA